CCCAACCAAAGACAGTGATCATCACTGCTAATGTTCTAATATTCTATGAATTTCCATAGCCTGGACCTTGGACAAGGTTTTAGCCTGTTGGCTCTTCAGTTAAGGAAGGGGCTGGGTCTCTGGCCTTGAAACCAGACTTCTCAAAGTTCAGGACTGGAGTTTAATGCTAATTCCTTTTCCTGCAGAGCCATGGGGACTCCCAATTTCTGGAATGAGCAGTTCAGCTCCAAGTCAGGGGAAAAGTGGAATGGCCAGAGGTCGAGTCATCTGGGAGCTGGAAGCTCCTATAAGCCACCTTCTTGCTTTCCACATACCCAGCTCCAGCAGATGATCATAACAAACAACCAAGGAACAAACTGACTCAGGCAAACTTTTTCATGTTACTCTATTACTTGGCCAGGGCTGGCTGCCCAGGGCTACCAAACAGCTCCTTGGTAGACCCCATTCAGAACATCCTAAAAGCATTCCTAAATGTCTTCTTGCTTTGGGAAATATTAGGGGCTAATCCCACAGACAAATTAACATAAACATTATCATGGAAACAAAAGAAATATTACCTAAAAGGTGCTTGATATCTACATGCATCTGCTAGCACCAAGTTTGTGGAGTATATAAATGAATTTTTTACTTTACTAACATTGTTCAAAGACAGCCACGTTTCATGGCATAGTTCTGCTACATGATACATGAATGGACTGAGTACAGTATCTTTAGCTCATTTCCAAATGCTCAGATTTAAGACCAAATGTATTCCTCTTGGGCTGATTAGCTCAGCAAGACACCAGCATGAAATTAACAGGACTCATCTCTGGTTTCATTCCTTGCTGGGTGAGTTCACACCAGGGCTTTTTACTCTTCAGTGTGCAAAGAAATCACCAAGGACATTGTTACAGGGAAGATGCTGGTAGGACAGGTCCAGGAGGTTGCATGTGTCTTACAAGCTCCCTGGTAAGCCTGCCACCACTGGGGAGCCAAGACTTTGGGTATGAAAAGTTTTCAGCATTCAGAATAGTTGTGTTCCTTGGCACGGCATTCTCCTTCCTCAGGGAGGAAAGAGAAAGACAGAAGGCACCTGCTGTGTGCTGGCTACTGAGCCGAGCTCTCCCAGAATCACCTTCTCTACCCCCCACAGCCAGCCTGGGCAATAGGTCCCCCTATCAGCACTAAGAGATCGAGAGCGGCACGGCCATTCAGTGAGAAGGGCATGTGGCCCGATGTGAGCTTTCTGCTGAAAAGAAGAAGGAGTGCATCTCTTTAGTGAGGACAGTGTCATTACCCTCATCACCGATTTGAGTGGCACTTGTGAGTCTTTCCAGTTTTATTTAGCTGCTTCCTGCTGTGATTCTGAGTCAAAACAGGAACAAGGTGTCTCATTTGTCATATCATCCGGCGATAGGAGGGATGTGGTTAGCTGTCATTAGAAATCCTAGACTCGACATGCCCCCTTGCCTCTCTGAAGGCATGTGGAGGATGAGGCACAGATACGCAGCGGGATCTCAACGCTCTGCTGGCATGCCCTGGTCGAAACACTGCTATACGACCTCAGTGCCGGAGCAGACCTAGGCTGCACCGTCCCGTCCACGGCGCACGCAGAAGTCCCAGACCCTATACAAAGGGCCCCCATAAAACCAGCAGCCACTGGTGACTCCTCCCGCTGGACCGGGCACCGATGCAAATGTTCTGCCTGCATCCATCTATTCAATCCTGACAGTATCACGAAACCCCCACCCCGCCCCTTTATTTCCATTTCACACATGAGAGGATGGAAGCAGGGAGACATCAGGTAACTGGCCCAAGTTGGCAAAGCTAGTAAGTAGCAGGTCGGGCCCTCAGTGCATCGAAAGCCATCTCGAGATTTCATTCTTGACCAATTAGGTGACACTAGTCCTCTCTTTCCTAAAACCGCAACAATCACCTTGCTCAGCCTCTGCAAATGAAGGGTCTTCACTGCCCTTGGAAACTGGTGATGCAATGAATAAAACTGAGTGGTTTTGTTTGATTCTTAAAGTGTCAGTGGGAGATCAATAACCGCATAATGTCTTTGCAAAGTGGGTATGCCATCTGCAAGTGAGCAGAGCAGCTGGCTCTGGAGTCCTCTTCCTGCTCAGTCTTGGAGCCTGACAGGTCTCCTTTGACAAACAGCTGTCACTAGGCCATCAATAAGGACTAACACAAATGCCCACTCTTCTAGGTGGAATCTGAGGTCTGGGTGAGTCCAGGGGGCAGACCCTGATTTCTTGGAACTGTACACAACAGCTTTTGGCAAAAGAGAGGATCCATTCCCCCTGAATGTCAGCTATCAGGAATCACAGCCCTGAAAATAAAGATTTGCATTTAAAAAGAAAATCTTGGGGCTCACCTCTTTCCCTTATTTATTTATTTTTTTAAAATATTTTATTTATTTAACAGAGATCACAAGTAGGCAGAGAGGCAGGCAGAGAGAAAAGGGGAAGCAGGCTCCCTGCCGAGCACAGAGCCTGATGTGGGGCTCGATCCCAGGACCCTGAGATTATGACCTGAGCCCAAGGCAGAGGCTTTAACCCACTGAGCCATGCAGGCGCTCATCCCTTAATTTTTTAAAAAGATTACTTATTATTTTAGAGAAAGACTGAGATCATGGAAGGCAGGGGCAGAGGGGGAGGAAGAGAGAATCTCAAGCAGACTCCTCCACTGAGCACAGAGCCCAAGACGGGATCCCACAACCCTGATATCATGACCTGAGCCGAAATCAAGAGTAGGATGCTTAACCGACTGAGCCACCCAAGCACCCTTTCCCTTAAGTTTTTAAGAAAAATGGAAGATGTAAGTAATTATCATTTGCTGAGTTTGCAGATCAGAAATCTGGTAACAAGAACAAAGTACTATACTGATAAAAACACAGCTTAAAACACTTCAGAGTGTTTGTGTTTGACATTTTATTTGACTTGGAATGGAGAAATAAAAACTGCTTCAAGAGATTTCATTTCTTAGTGTAAGAGAGAGATGGTGGCAATGAGAGGGGAAGCGGGTCCACGAATGTTGCTAATTATAGGGTGTTTTAGGTGGTGGTGGGGAATTATTTCACTGCAGAGAAGGGAGATGTCTAAAAAGCAAACATTCCGTGGAGCATTTTAGGAGACTCTGAAGTCATCCAGCAACCGAGGCATTAGCTGCACTGGATTTCCTGAGCTGTACAATGAGAAACTGCCTTTATGCTGATTATCCTGCCTCACAGGGAAAGAAATACTCTGATAATGAGTAAGAGGGAAAATACAGAAATGAGCCCATGATTATCACCTGAGTTGAAATACACTGAAAGCTGAAGTCATGAATATCTTAAGAGCTTAGAGTAATATATATATATATATTTATATATAATATATATAATTTATATATAATATATTTATATATAATTTATATATAATATATTTATATATAAATTATATATATAAATATAAGTAATATATGCTATATAATGTAAAATAATATATGTTATATATGTTATTATATATAATGTAAAATATATAATATATATTTATAAAAATGTAAATACATATAGTATATATATTTAATTTATAATGTAAACTATAATTTATAATATATATATATATATATATATATATATATATATATAGTCCCTTTGACAAAATAAACTCTTCCATTGTGGATAAGCCAGGACACAAAAGGAGAGAAAAGTTTCATGGATGATAATAAACTTGTTTGGATACTCTGCTATTAGAGATTAATTCCTTTGGCTTAAACCCAGAGTTCTTTGAAAAGGTGAACTACTTGGGGAAAGTTAACATGTTCAGTCAGGATATCAGCTGTTACCATGCTGTAGTGTGATTTAATATAGTTACATCTTCCCTCCTAACCCAAATTATATTTTTAAAAATGAAAGAAATGGAGTATTCAGAATGAGAAATAGGAGGGAGGAGTCATTTTAGAAGGTGCTGCTCTGACAAGATGAACATATCTGATTTTGTACACTGAGCAGTTAACAAAGGTAAGGGGTTGGACAAGAAGAGCAGAGAAATGGCAGTAAGTGAAGCACACAGAGAGAGAAAAAGGTGGGTCGGCAGTGCTGGTGAGCACCAAACAAGAAGCATGAGACATCATTTTCCATAGTTGGGATACACATAGTAGCAGGGATAGTGTGTAAACCCAGAACTTGGTTCTAAACGCATTTCTTTTTCAATCAGACCTGTTTGGAGCTGAAACAATCTTTCCCCACTCTGAATTTACATTCCTAAAACCAAGAGAATATTATTTTCACTATCACACTGGCAAAGTTAAAAGGCTTATGATCTACAGTGTTAAAGTAGGAGCATGGAAATCCACATACTCAGAGTATCTTTGTGGGAAGGAGAACAACTTAATTGTGGTGATCCAGATTTAAAATGAGTGTAACTTCTGATTCAAAATTTCATTTCTAGAAATGGAATTGAAGTCCTATTTTTCAGAAATATTAGCACAGACATACAAGAGATTTGCACAAAGATATTTAATTAAGCATTGAGTGGAAAAATGAAGACACCTACATAATCTACCAATAGGGGAAAGTTAAATCAGTCAAAGAAAATAATCCATACTATGGAGTTTCTAGACAATAATTAAGAGGCATGTAGTATAACAATATATACATATAACAATATGTATTGTTCTGTTTAAAAGGAGTAAAAGTGTTTGGGTGAAAAAAATATTGTCAAATAATACTGTATGATCAACTATTTGCACTGAAAGGTAGATGAGTATATGAGATGGATGGACAGACAGATGGACAGATGGATGGATAGATGGATGGGTGGATGGATGGATGGATGGATGGCGTGGGTTAGGAATGAGGGGCTGAGGTTCATGTACTTCCATTTAAAAATTTTTACATACTGTTGGACTGTTTGAATTTTTCATAAGGAACATACACTATTTTGTAGAAGAAGGAGTCTGAGACCACAGGCCAGGGACACAGAGATGCACACAGAGGAAGCTGGGCTCCTGACCCTCAAGGGAAGAAAACTCACCTTCAGAGAAGATGATGTGATCATTGCATTCATCGGAGCTACAGGAACACATGAAGAAAGTCTCACCCAACACCTTTTTTTCCTTCATAATACACTTTGGAGAAGCAGCATCTTCGAGAGCGATTCCGTGGTAAGTGTCCTTGGGGTCATGGCAAAGCGTCTCTAGTGTTATGTTCTCATCATTCTTTCTCCTACGGTGCAGAGGTTTGTGGCAGGGGAGAGAAGAGAAAAAAAGAGAAGGGGTGAATATGGCCTCCTGGACAGCAAAGTACTCTGGACTCTATATCCTTCCCAAAGCTGTTTGAACAATGGCAGCTGGTTCCTGTTCTCCCACGTTAACAGGTTGTCCTCTAGTCTCCTGTGCTTTTTCCACTCATTTCAGTTTTTGCATTGCGTATTCTCAAAACCCACTTATGAGTGTAAATGAGAAGGCTTTCCTTAGGGGCTGTCTGGCTGGAGAACCTTACATATTAAATCTTAGTTAAACGAGGAGACAGGAAGGCATGGTCAACCGAAGACTGCGAGGTCCTCAGGGTTAAACCTTCCATCCTGAACACCCTGCTAGGTTCACACTGCGTTCCCAGTTTATCTCAGAGGATCAAGGTCACATCTAGCTCAACTGTGCTCCAAGAGCATTCCTGGGAACATCATGGCAGCTCCTCGTGTCTGTTTGCTGGGCCCTAGAGGGCTCTGTGTGAGGGTGTATCCCATGTCGGCAGCTGGCTGCGTGGACAGCACAGAACACGCTTCCTAGATGAAACACTGGCAGTTTCCCTGACTCACAGAAAGGAACGGAAGGGGAAAAAAATGAAAACACATGGGAAAGAACTGCAAGGTGTTCTTTGTTTATGGTTCAGTGAAATATTTTATGCTGTCATGAACAAATTACTTCTACATGTAGCATCCCTTCACTTCAAGTATCTGAAGCTTAACCCAGCTAAGGACTCCAAGAAGCTCTCCCGTGGCATTTTACTGAGGCCCTAGAAAGTGCTCAGTGGGATCTATGTGTACATTACATTTAAAAATGACATGATTAATGCCCTCTATTATAATTGCAAAAGCCAAAAGAAAACTCTGGCATCCTTGGAAAAATACATCGTTCTCTGCCTCTTTCAATCTGCTTCTCTCATAAACTTGCCCTCTTGCATGACTGCATCCAACACCAAGGTTGTGCTGACCTCTTTCCTCCCATCTCTGACGTTTTCAGAGGCAACCTGTTGTCTTAAATGGTCCTCTCTACCTTGGGAGGGGGAGTCTAGGGTAGGGCTAATCAGGCCTGAACTATTTGAACAGAATCTTCCCGGGGAAGGTTTCTGAGTGCCCACATGCCTGCTCACACTCACCAGCCACTGCCCTCCCCCCACAAGCTCACTGCTTGCAGCAAACAAAATGGCAGGCAGGCAGGAAGTGAAGAGTGGCATAAGTCCAGCCTTCACCTGGAAAACAGGCAGGTCCATATTCCCAGAGAATGAGTAATTTTGATGGCAACACCACTAGAGTGCTTTATTCTGGGACACTAAAGGACGGTTTGTCAACAAGGGGATGAGAAGAGCAGGAATGCGGGGCAGATGGAACAGTTGAACTAGGACCAGAGTCAATGTGGCTGACATCCATGCAACCCAGAGCTGGCTCCCTCAGAGGCAGGTGTGCCCTTGCTGAAGGAGTTCAGGGGTTCTGGTTCTCGACCTAACACTCCAGCGGGTGCAAGAGGGGCTAGCCCTAGCTAAGCAGGCCTCTACTGGAAAAGGAAGCACCCAAATCGGAATCTTTATTCTATCATGGCTAGCAGGGAACTATGTGACACTTGGCATGACCACACAACAAACTATGTATGTTTAAAACCCCACTTATTCTTAACTCCAAAACTCCTGGGAAGTCTTGGCAAAATGACAGTCATGAAACAAGAGCACCTTCCTCCCTGTCCCCACAGTGTGTGTGTGTTTGTCCTCAGACACGTGCCCGACAGGGTTGTTTTCTGGTTTGGGTCACAAAATGAAGGCTCTCTGCGTCTTCCATGCCCCCAGGTAAAAGCATGGTGTTTCTTCCTTGGGAAGCTTCTAGAAGCCAAGGAACGGAATGAGGAAGGAACTTTGCGCCCTGAAGTAGAGCTGCTCTATAACCACTGGGCAGCCCTTCCAGAGCCTCTTGCCTTTCATCCCTCACTGCTTAGAGGACTAACATCGCAGAGAGGAAATTGAGTTAGAATACTTGAGCCCGGGAAAGTCCTTCACTGGTTTCTCCACTCAACCCTACAACAGTGCTCCCTGGCAGGCAGAGCCAACTTTGCCAAAATATCTTTGGATACAGCTGAGCCTAGGAAGGGAAAACACAATGAACCAAGCACAGACTTCTTCTTTGTCCTGAAACGTTTGCTCTGAGCCAGTGAAGAGGTTTGTCACGATCTACTCACAAAAGAACCACGATGATCAAATTAATTTTGGTTCCACAGGATTTTTATCCTTGGAAAGAACTGACACGTTTGACATGGGATGGGTACCCAGCTGCCATCAGTGAAACAGACAAACGCATCAGTGAATGAATGAAAAGAATGCTAAGACTCATAAAGGCACTGCAGTGTACTCTCAGGGGAGAGCCTTTTTTCAGTTTCTACACCTGGCTGTTCCTTTGAGTTCCCTGGAAACAGACCTTAAGGCTGTGAGATTTCTGTGCAGAGAGTTTTCGGAGAGGCACCTGTAAGGGAAGCATTACCGCACACAGTGGGGGTGGAACCCTAGTGCAGATCACAGCCACTGACTCACTGACGCCTCGGAAGATGGGGGGTCAGAGCTGTCTCGAAGGAGGCCCAGTGGCCGGCATTTTGGACCCCGGCATCAACCAGTCATGGGAAGCTGGCTGCCTATGGAGAGGAGCAAACTTGAGGAGGGGCCAAAAGAGGGAAGAAGCTCCAGGCAGTGGGGGCAGGGAGTGGTACTCCCCTGGAGGGACTCCAAGGGATCCCTCCGCAGCGACTTGGGCCAGCAGCTGAGGGCAGAGTGCCTCATTGCTGAGGGGGATCAGCGAGGTGCACCACAGCACCTCTCGCTTCCCTTTCTTCTTACTGACATCCCACTCCACGGGAGTATTTGTCTCTGCCGAGACAGGTGAAAACATTCACTGCGTTAACTCTTTACAGTGGGAACGGAGAGGAGACGGGGCGGGGGGCGGGGGCGGTTTCCTCTCCCCTACATGCTCACATTTCCTGAGACAGCGAATAACGAATAACGTAATGCCTCATTCCAGAGAGACTTGATTCACATTCCATCAATGGGGTTTGTATGGTGGGTCAAGAAAAAAAAATGCCCTTATTGGATGAGCCTGTATGGGGTAGCAGAAGTAAGCTCTCACCCCACAGTGCACATTCACGTAAAGATGATCAGCAGAAAACAGGAGCAAAGAAGGAAGCAGGGAGGTCACCCAATCTGGCGTCTCAGTCTTTCCTGCACTAGCCTTTGATGGATGGTCCTCCAGCGTCTCCTGAACTTTGACTCCTCAGAGAGGAAGACTGTTTTGCTGTTAGGAAACCATGATGGTGAAAACGTTTAAATTTATACTGAAGTCTGTCCCCTGGTAAACATTATAGATCCTCTTTCTGCCCTTCGGAATTCCACAGGATAAGTTTATTATATTTTCCACTTGAGAGCCCTTCCAGGATCTCTCCACGGTACCCAAGTCTTCTCTCTACTGGACTGGCTGTATCTGATTCCATCAACCATTCCTCACATCTCTGCTTCCTAAGCCTGCAGTCCTACGGGCCCCTTTGCCTCTGGACACGATCTTTGTCAAAATCCCTTTTGCAAAAGCAGTGCTCGGAACTGGACCTGAATGAAGCTGGCGGGGACAGCGAGATGTCACGACAGTTCTTTGCTGTTAGCATTCTTTTAGTGCTTAAGAAACGAGTTCATCCGCAGTGTGTGTGGAAATTGGCAAGGTTTCCACATCTATCATCAAGGCTAACTATATGTGGTTAAAAGACTTATTCCCCCAACAAGGGGGGCGGGATATTTGGGTTTATATTCTCAGTTGCCATCTGGCCAGGTGACACATAGGTTACTTAAAAAAAAAAAAAAAAGGCTGGTAAATTCAAAACATCAGAATAAGTCTGCAAATGTTATATTTCATTAATGAATTTATACTTTTTTATAAAATGGGGACTCTTTTAATCTCTTTTTTCCTTTCATCTCTGTTCAGACTCCCAATCAGTAACTATGACAGAATCAAAGGATTTGTGAGCAACCATATGCGTGTGTGTGTTAAGGTGGGGGAAATGAAAAGGAGAGGGAGAGAGAGAGAGGGAGGGACAGAGAGAGAATATGGAGGGAATGTGATCTAAGAGAAATATGCAGTGTTGATCCAAGGAGATGTCGCATGTAGCCTGTGGTGCTGTGAGTGAACTGGTCAGGGCTTTAGAGTGAAGAATGGGTTGTCTTTATGGTTCTCCAAAAAGCTTTCCTTTTTTTTTTTTTTTTTTTTGACAAAGGCTTTCCTCTTCCAACAGCCCACCTTTCATCTCCTCTCCTTCCGCAGAACAAGACTGAGATTGCCTCAGAAGAACAAAGCTCCTGGTGTCATCCTGGGGTGCGAAGCAGGTGTCAATTAAAATGACAGTGGCAAATGTCTCTCCTTCATAAAAGGAAGAGGCCCCGGATTTATTGTAAATATGAAAGGTCATCTTATATACCGTCACGCTCATATATAGCGATTCACATGGGTGTGTATGAATCTGAGAATGTACAGAATATCTCTGGAAATTACATGTGATCATTGAAAGAGAGACAGCCTGAAGGAAAGGGACGTGTGAGAGGGCATGGAGACAGCCTTGACTCTAATGTACCATGGCGTGCATCACTTGCAAAAGGGGGAAAAGGGAGATTTTCAAAAGCCGCCTTACCAGACAGCCAGACAGACTTCATGTGGCTTCTCACAGATGGAGGTAATGCTGCAATTGCTCATGCAGGATTTCTGGTTGTCACAGGTGGAAGATCTCACATCGCAAAATTTACACAATTGCGGAAATTTGATGACACCATTGTTGTCCGTGACCATCATGTCGTTATTAACTGGGGAGGGAAAAGAAAGACACACTAAATGAGTCTCTCACTGCTAGGCAGCCTGCCAATGAATTCCTGATGATGTTATGCAATTTCAAATGAACCAAATAATGCCTTCACATCAGATTAGAATTTCCTTCACGTACGCAATTTGTAATGAAAGCCATTGTGGCGGGGGCGGGGGTGGGTGGGGGTGGTGTAGCTGGGGTGGGGGGAGGTTTGAGTAACTTCTTGCTTTTGTCAGTGGTTACCATAAGGCACTCTATCTCCAACACAATTGTTCAATCAAGAACCATAGATCTGACGGGTCCACTGCACAGTGCTGGGTGGTAAGAGCACAGAGAATACTATCTTAAGGAAATTATCCTTTAGGTGGGTAGACAGACGAAGAAACAGATGAGGGTAGGGTAAGCCAAGATAGAGAGAAGCACAGAGGATAAAGGATCCTGATGAGAGTCATGACCAAGATGGGCAGAGACAGGTCACAATGGTGTAGAGCTGTGCAATGCGTAAGGCTGTTGGCCAACTCAGAGGAGACACTGTAGGTGAGGCAGGGCACTGCCTGTGTTCTCCGACCTGCATAGGAAGAGCTCTAAGACACTTGCTTGATAGAGGCTGGTGCTAGGGGCCCCTGGGTGGCTCAGTCAGTTAGGCATCTGCCTTCCACTCAGGTCATGATCTCAGGGTCCTGGGATCAAGTCCTGCATCAGGCTGTCTGCTCAGCAGGGAGTCTGCTTCTCCCGCTCCCTCTGTGTTCTCTCTCTCAAATAAACAAATAAATCTTAAAAAAGAGAGAGAGACTGGTTCTAATTTCTCCCATTGCCTTGAGGGAAATCAGGTGATTAACCAACACCGAATGAGTGTCTCTGAGACAGAATCCCAAACACTGGTGAGGCTCAGAGCACTGGAGTCCTGCAGGTGAGGAAAAGCCGAGTTCCACCTTGAGAGTCTGCTCTCCGCCACCTCTCTGACTTCATCCCCCACCACCAACCCATTTACTCCTACTCATTACCTTTTAGGACACATGGGCCTTCGCTGGAAGAAGCCAAGTTCCTTCCTCCTCAGAGCCTTTCCCTTACAATCCCCTTCCTCACCTTTCTGGTCCCCTGTTAACATCGCCTCTTCATCCTAAAGCAGCCCACGGGTAACTAGCCCAGAATTCTGTTTTATCTCCTGCACAACGACCTCATTCACTTACTTGTTTATAACCTATCCACCAAAATGTACGCTCCACGAGCTCTTATCTATCTTGTTTATGTACTGGGTGTCCAGTGTCAAGAAGAGGACCTCCTCCATAGAAGGTATCCGATAGTATTTGTTGAGTGAGTGGGTGAATAGTGACTGAATTTAAGAAGTTCACACTTGGCTCTATATGCCATGTGGGAAAGGATATAGAACTTCTTCACTCAGATGGGGAGGGTGGTGATTATAAATGCAATATTCATTCACAGTCATCTATAGTATATCACAGGCAGGACCATTCTTAGCAAAACACATGCTACACGTTGCCAGACTATTAAAAAAGGTATAACACCACCTTCCCCATCTTCTTCTTCCAACAGATCCATTTCTACTGGCAAAAGTGGAAATTAAAGGGTTGAGTTTAGAGAATCAAGTGAAGGAAGACAAGGCTACGAGGCATTTGGTCAACAGACACGAACTTAGAAACACTTACAGGCTAGTCTAAGAAAGATTACATGCTTAGACAAGGTACAGCACTGGACCAATCACTGGCTATTAGGCAGCTGGGAGGTGTGTTTCTGCCAGGGATCTCCCTTGGAAAGGCCTGAGGAGCGCCTCCTCATCTCCTCGCTGTGTCAGATATGCTCCTGCCTAAAGCCAGACAAACAACTTTAACGCCCTCCCACGGTCTCTCCTTGCCCCGTGAATTTTGATTTCTGTCATCCGCACTTTGCCACAAAACCCTCCTTGTCACTTGGGCATAGCACCTGTTTCCTGGGTCTCTAAAAATACAAACATATATAAATTTAAGATTTGCTTTCTTGTGGTAACATTAAATATAGAAGAAAAAAAAACACCCATTCATCCCTCTCAGGCCTCAAGTTCATTTCAGGAAGTGTATTTTTAGGCAACAAACTATTTTGAAATTTGTCTCCCAGACCAAGAGCTCTATGCTAAGCTAAAAATACAGGCCAAAATGCTTTCTGAACTTTGTGTTCAATTTGGGACTAACACAACAATGAATATATATATTTTTTCTACAACAGTTAAAGTTGGATCTATTTGTGAAACAACTAAGTTAACCCCTCAGGTTTCCCTATAAGACATGGGTAAAAAAACAAAAATCTGGGTCATGTTTTGATTATGTGAATTTTTTAATAGAGTATGTTTCACACAAACATGTATTTGCTGGCTAGGAAGCTTTGTTGTTTTTAAATATAAAATCAAGCCTCCATGAAATGGAATTCGGCCTTCTCACATTTTAGGATTTTAGCCTGTCTTAGTAATTATCAACTTTGAGGGCATGTTACAAGCAATCACCTAAGGAGGTTTAAAAAATAATGAGGCCTGAGTCCTACTTCAAGATACACTGATTTAATTATTCTGGAAGGTGGCCTGAGCATTGAGATTTTTTGAAGCTGCCCAGATATTCTAACATGCACCCAAGGCAGAGAACCCTGACCTGGAATGAGTTGAAAACAACCTGACTGGCTGAAAACAAAGAAGCACCTACTCCGCTCCCCACCGTCCCCCACACACACTTTCTGTGACAGTGAAGGAGCAGCCCTTCAATAAATCTGGAAGGAGACCCTTGTGAAAAACAGGGTCTGAAAGCTATGTGATGAACTCTTTTACACCTCAGATGGAAAGGGGTCCTCTGCTGGGCTGGCCAATGCTTTTCGAACACAAGCTAAGAAGTGTGAGAAAAGCGAGAGGAGTCAGGAGTGAAATGAGAGAAGTGCCACCAGTGAGTCTGCTGCTGGAAGCCACAGAGGCGGCCACAGACGTGTTGACAAGCATAAGCGGTTTAGATCTGATGCCTACAAAAGACGGTCAACAGTGAAGACACCAAAGGAGGCCATGGAAAAAGGGAAAAAAAAAAAAAAAAGGAATGGAGAATGGCCACCAAGCTGCACAGCTCCAGGGGCGTCACTCAGATCACCGTCAGCGTACAGGGCCCCTGGAGACCTGCAGGTGTATGATGGCGGCTGCCTACAGCAAGGTCCAGAAAGAGAAGACCTTTGCAATGAACTCTGGGAGAAAGGCCAACAGCGAACTTCACTCCACACTTGGAGGCAGAGGTTTGTGGGGGAGGGGACGGCATACGATGGGAACTCATACACACTAAGCGCCTACTGTGTGCCAGTTAAAGTACGTAAGTCGTCACATATCATGTCCTAAGTAGCCAGTGAGGAGGCCTCCTTTGTCTCTTTATTATCATTAAAGTGACCACTGCTAAGGTGAACAGACTTTTCACCTTGAGCAGCTTCTTCTTCTCCTTCTTCTTTTCGAAAAATGTGAAAGCCTTTACCTGGGGCGTAGTCGCTATAATTTTCCCCCTCCCTTCCCCCGACAGCCACTCCTTAACTAATTGACCTCAGGAAGCTCCCCACCTTCAGTAACGGTCAGCCTCTGGTTTAAGATTCCCTTGTGAATATGTGTTGGTGGGATAGGGTGAAGTGTAAGGGGCAAAGCTACCTTTAGGCTGTGCTGAAGATCACCGAATTTAGATAAAAACTGATGGAGTCACGCTGGGGAGAAGGGACCGAGAGACCTATGTACAAAGCTTTGCTCATCATTGCGGGGGGCTGACTTACAGACTCCCTGAAGACCCACAAACCCCCACTGAAGGATCCAAGGACTAGCCTGGTGTCCTCCGGGGTCACAGATAACACCCTAAGTAGTTCCCGCTCATCAGAGGGGTGGAGGGCTCCTGGGAGCAGGAAGGGTGGCGATGGCTACTCACTACAGGCATGATTGCATCTGTGCGCTCCAATCAGCAGGAAAAGAAGTTACCATTGCAACCACGGGCATCAAGCACCTTCTGCTTAAAATTGTTCGCGAAGCCTAAGTCTTGAAGAATAAATGCATGTATGTGAATAGCCAGGGACAAAGATATTACCCTCAATGGCACAACAAAAGCCATCTCATTAACCCCAGAGTAGACCTTAACTAACTTCAAAATGACTTCCATGCAGGTTAAATGACTCCTGCATCTTCAGCTAATCTGTTCTCATATTAAGGTAGTGTATTTTAGTGTCTCTAGGCCCTCTGTGCCCTGCTGACCATCTCCAGGGAATTTTCTACCCATAATGGGCAAATCAGCTATTCATGACGTCTCCCAAAAAAGAGGTTCCAATAAGAGTGTCTCTCTCCTAGAAAGTCATGTGCTGAAGGAAGTGAGCCTGGACAGCTTCTTTTCAGCATATGATGGGATCACATGGTTCATCATAGTTCACTTTTCTTCAAACAAACCCGTGAGTAATATCAAGCCCTTCAGTCTAGGTCATACTGCCTTCCTCATTTTAGGGCACATTTTCCCCCAAACTCATTGCCTGGAGACACAGTTCCAGGTCTTGAGAATATGAATTAAGTAAATGCTTAGCTGTGTCTATGGCTGGAAAAGTACTGTTGTCTTTGAAGGTCAACGATGAGCAGCCTAGTAAGGCTTAGCTTTACTCCAGATAAATATAGGGAGTTTTGAATATAAATTCTTAGTCTGTATCTTTGGAATGGTGTCAACTATTAACTGAGCTAGTTGGTAAAAATCTCAAGACTCTACAAATAATCTTAAATACTTTGCCAGAAAGGCATATTCACGCCCATTTGAATTCATGCATCTGCCTACTGTTGTTTAGTGCTGTGTTTTGGGGGGCAAGGAAGAATCTATTTATTCTACACACACCTGTGGCTGTCTTGCGGCGTGCTATATGTTTCAGAGCAGGACCACGAAAACTGATCCAACTATGTGCAGCCTCTCAAAGAATAATCCATGGCAACTGGTGAACAGAACTCAGAACGCTTCTCAGCCGTGCTTCTCAGATGTT